GCTTTGCTCGGCCACTTAAAGTGGTGCAAGATTTCCTCCATCAACAGTAGTAGTAGTAGTAGTAGTAGTAGTAGTAGTAGTGGTAGTAGTAGTACCATAACTTCATGAAGCGAATCAGCTCGCAAAACTCACCCACCTAAACGCTGACTCTACATAGCCCGCATGCACACACCAGCATCCCTGTCAGGGCACAAATAATACACAGCCGGACTCATAATAACACAGTCGCTGTCGTCATCCTGTCGTCGTCGCTATCCTTACCATCAATACCGTGATCACAGTTGAGGTAGTCACAGCCCACTTTCATCAGCAAAATCAGCACCACCTTAGGTGACACAATGACCGCGATAGTTAAGTTGCTGAAGATGATATTGATGGTTTGAAGCTAGGTTGGTTCAGAGAGAGTGGTGTTGATGATGACAACGCTCCGCACGGGCCTAATGATGTTGACTGCGACCGTGTGATTGATGATACTGGCAATCATGGGGGCCGTGATGATGGCGAAGTTGGTGATGGTAGAACAGATGTCGTTAAACGGTGTTGTCGACGACTGTGTTAGTCATGATTGTGTTGTCCGAACGGAGTTCTATGCACCGACTGTGATGTCGTTGACTATGGCGACAACTACGGCAGTGTGATGGTTTTTGATGCCGCGGTGATGTTGTTGCGGCTGTGTTGACCTGACTGATGGCATTAGTGGTGATCATTGCGAGGTTGAAGCCATGATATGCAAAGCGAGTGCTACTGGTGACCAACGTGCTGATGCTGAGGAAGATGTAGGCAGCGATCCGGTTATGAAGTGGGCAACATGTTCTTGGTCGACATCGGTTCGATGGTGGTTCTGAGATTGTGGGCTGTCGCGGTGATTCTGCGGTGTGCTTGGTTCTCGGAAGCGCTGGCCGGACTAAGAATAGAGATGAGCAGAGCTTCTGCCTCCTGCGAGGACGACCTACTGCAAACACAAACAGGAAGCTTGGGAATATCTGGACTTGGTTCGCATGAGTGAACTAAGACTACATCTCAAACCCGAAATCCCGACCTTTCTGCCGGCCTGCAGGGCAAGGCAGACAAGTTGTTGCGGCGTGTCCAGATGCGTAGTGGCCGTAGTCACACTCGATGCAGCCTGACTGTCCTTGGGCAGAAGCACAACAATTTTCTGCTAGTCAGCCCACCGGTAGCACGGCTGAGGTAGTGCTGCAAGTGCTAGTCGTAGCAGTAGTAGTAGTCGTAGTCGTAGCATTAGCAGGAGTAGTTGTTGTGGTAGTTGTAGTAGTAGCTGTCGTTGATGTTGTTGCTATCGTCGTTGCGGCCGTCGTGACAGCAGCAGCAGACGAAGAGGCCATGGCAGTGGCCGTGGCCGTGGTGGCAGCAGCAGCAGCAGCAGGAGAGTAGCAGCAGTAGTAGTAGTAGTAGTAGTAGTAGTAGGAGTAGTAGTAGGAGTAGTAGTAGTAGTAGTAGTAGTAGTACTAGTACTTGTAGTACTAGTAGTAGCAGTCGTAGTAGTAGTAGTAGTAGTAGTAGTAGTAGTAGTACCAGCAGTAGCAGTAG